GAGTGTTAGAGACTAAATTATATAATTAAGAATTTTTAATATTTTATTTTAGTTAATAAAAAACTAGTTTTAACTTTTATATTATTCAGTTTTGATAAATCATGCAGTAAAATTTACCTCTTATCATTTTTGTTATTTAAATTAACATGGAGGTCAAGATTGAACCATCCATTTTTAGAACTATAATAATTACTTTATCTACTTAAACTATGCTGTCAGATTCGGAATTTAAATATATCATTTCAAACTCTATATCTAATTCATAATGGGTTACTTTAAATATTTTTTTTATATAATTTTATTGATCAACTAAGTGAAAATTTTGTCATAAAAAGAAACCAAATGAACAAATATTAGTTATTACTCATTAACTAGATTCAATTAATTATTGGGTAGATATACTAAATAATCTTTAATGTCTCAAGAAAAATTCTTAATTTGGTCATTAATTTTTAAAAATTTTGAAATTTACACTAGAATTTTGAATTAGTATTTTCCTTAAAAAAAGAAGTTAAATTTGTTAACAAAAATTTTTTCTTAATCAACTGTTAACAAAAAAATTGATGTTTCATTAGTTAGGGGGAAAAAAGTGTACTTTTATGATCCCTCAGTTTTAAATTGCATTTCTATTTAGTTCTTAAATTTTAAAATTGATAAATAATTTYCTTATTTTTACCCTTATTAAATATTTGATTGTTCATTATTATTATTTTTTTAAAAAAATTACTTTTACATTTTTCTATTAGTTGTCAAATATTTAAGGGGGGTAAGAATAAAGTTGTTGTTTAGRAACTGGATTTATAGTGAATTAAACTAAGTCAAGTCAATTGTAAACATTCATATAGCATTTTAGACTCATTTGGAAACGTTCGTATTTTTTGTTGCTCGTTTCTAATTATATTAAGAAATCTAAACATTTTGTAACTAACTATGCTGATTGTTTATCAYTTTTTGGGAACATTCTCAAAATTATATATAAATTTTGGAAACAATCAAAATAAGTCTTTCTTCCCATTTCCAATTTGTACCAAGACTAAAAAGATTGTTTGATTATATTGAATTCATGGAKGTTGAGACAACGTAATTCATTTTTCTTTAATAAAAATARAGAAACAAAAATAAGAAACCGTAAYATTATCRAACGCTTAATTTATTTCTCTAAGGAGACGCCAGAAATGATKCTCAGTCCCTCTGTCCRCTCAACGAAAAAGAAATAAAATAAAGGTAAATCAGTTGCGACACTTATTTAATATATTTTAGTGATATATATTTTAAAAAACGTTGAGATCTGGACGTGTGGATGGATATTGACATCCGGAATTGTCCATACTCAGGTTTAATTTACTACAAGTTTTATGGGCGTTCTGATTTATGCGCTCATAGAAATTAAAGGGGCAGCCGATTCAACAACTCCCCATTTCTCTGTCTCTGTGTGCTGCAATGGCGGATTCGAACGGTGCGGCGGAGGAGATTGRCGCAGAAGAACCGCTGCTGGGCGGCGGCCCCAAAAAGGGCGGCATCAGAACTTTGCCGTTCATAATCGGTAACTCCGAGAAAAACGCGGCTTCGAGTTGCGATTTCCGTTGAATAATGAATACTGAGTGTCGGTTGGTTGTGATTTCATGATTTTCAGGGAATGAGTCGATTGAGAGCTGTGTGAGTAGTGGGCTATCTTCAAATTTCACTCCCTACTTAATGGGAGAGTATGGGATGAGTGCGCTTCAAACCTCCAACTTTTTGTATTTCCGGTCGACTCTCGGTGGCCTCACTCCGGTGCTCGGAGCCTTTCTCGCCGATTCCTACGCCGGTCGCTTCCGCACGATCGCCTTCGGAGCCGCCTTCACCTCTCTGGTACCTAATTTCTCAGACTAAATTTTAGATTTCTTATTAATTGTTAATCTGATTTCACTTTTTTCTTTTTTTTGGAAAATTGAGTTTGATAGCAAAAATCTTTTATATATTTCAAAATATATTACCTATTTTTTAAATTTTTAAATATAACAAAAAATTTCACACATCAGTAGTACACTTGTATAAATAGTATATTAGATATAAATTCCATACATATTACAAAGACGAGTTATTAACTAGTAGTATATTAGATACTTTAATATATTACAGATATATTAAAAATATATTACACATATATATCATTTTGGTAAAGTTGTCATTTTAAAATTAGACCTCCCTATTTTGTTAATTTTACTAAATGTTTTTGACGTATTTGGAACAGTTTTTTTTTTTAAAGTCTATTAAATGTTAACACCATTGGAAATTTAGAACAACTAATTCTTTTGACCACCAATTGGTTAGATCGAAAAATTTTATAATATTGCAGGAATACCTACTTTGTAGGTTGAAATTATAATTTTCATAATCTTTCATGAAAGAATCCACTGAAGTTATTCCAATACTCCTCCCTCTCCCTTCCTCCTAAAAAGGAAAATAAAAAAAATCAAATTAAAGAGAAAACTTTGAAATTTTTATTTTTTTAATATATTTTTAAGTTAAAGTCTTAGACAAATTGAAAGGGACAATTTTCATTTGTTCGGCCTTAAACTTTCTATTATATTAGTAAAGGACAAATTAGAGGCGTGTRCAATAGTTTTCTTTCTTTCTCCCACTCTAAGATTCCTTATTCCGATTTACTCTCAGTGATAGGAATGAATAATATTTCTCTGTGGACAGCCACTAAAAATTTATATGTCATTCTAAAAAGTATTTTAGTTACAGTGATGATATAGAGATATAAATAATGGAACAGGGGATGACGCTGTTATGGATAACCTCGGCAATCCCACAAGCAAGGCCTTATTGTGACAAATCTTTGTCCCGTTGTGATTCTCCAACAGCATTTCAGCTCTTTGTTTTGTATTCCTGTTTTGTGTTGATGTGCATCGGAGGAGGCGGCATTAAAGCATCGTCTCTGGCCTTTGGGGGAGACCAATTGGCCACCAACAAGAACAAACACATTTTGGAGAGCTTCATCGGATGTTACTATGTTTTTACTCTGGTCGGATCCCTGTTTGGAATGACAGTTATTGTTTACATTCAAGATAACATCAGCTGGAGCTTGGGATTTGGAATTCCTGCTGCTTTGATGCTCTTCTTCCTCGTTTCTTTCCTCCTCGTTTCTCCCCTCTTCGTCAAGATCGAGCCCTCTTCTAGCTTGTTTACCTCTCTCTTCCAAGTCGTCGTTGCTKCTTATAGGAACAGACATGTCCGATTACCATCTGATACCTCGCATGCGCTTTACCACCACGGGGATGCGTCCGCTCGACAAAAGCCGTCTGACAAATTGAGGTACGCATGTACTCTTGTAGCTTGAAAATATGTTGCCGGATTCTTACAAATTGAATTGCACTTGCACAGRTTAGATTGTTACAAATTTCAAAATACATSCATTAAATTGTTTTGGAGGCTAAATCCCTACCTTGTTGGAGTTACAAGGAGCGCAAATAAAGTCCCACCTCAGTTAAGAAAATGATTGATCCATGGTATACAGCTAAGAACAATTACTTCATTTGTGTAAGGCGTGAGGATTATGTCCAAAACATACMATATCATACTATTACCCACYGAAGAACATACTTTAAACTTTTAGATAAAACTTGGTGTGTATGGATAGTTCTTACTTGCCATCTTGAAAAAATTGATCGTTAATTAATATATTTTATATTTCTTCCTTTAATTTTACATTTTGAAAAAAGAAAAACAAAGCCTTACTAGAAACTCTCATTTTATATTTCTTCCTTTAATTTTACATTTTCAAAAAAGAAAAACAAAGCCTTACTAGAAACTCTTGGGTTTGTAAGGGAGTGTCAACAAAGTTCTACAATGTATGAGGCTTTTGGAGTAAAATCAAAAGCAAAGTCACGAAGGTTATATATAGAGATACTTGAGGTTTAAGGTATTTGGGTGGGTAGTGTCGTYTATAAAAACTTCATTTCGTGGGCTCAGGTTTCTGAACAAAGCGTGCATCATTACAGAAGGCGAGGATGAAGAGAGGAGTGGAGATCCATGGAGGGTATGCAGGGTTGAGCAAGTAGAAGATCTGAAATCAATAATCAAAGTAATCCCAATTTGGTCGACTGGAATCCTGTTCTCCGTCTCCTTCAACCAGAACACTCTCCCATATTTACAGGTCTCCACCATGGATCGTCACATCACTCCAAATATTGAGATCCCGGCCGGCTCCTTCATCATGTTCCTCTTCATCTCCCTCGGACTTTGGATCCTCCTCTACGATCGACTCCTCGTCCCTCTCGCCTCGAAAATCCTAGGCAAACCGACTCGCCTCAGGCCTCTCCAGAAAATCGGATTCGGAATATTCATGAGCTGCATTTCCGTCGCATCCATAGCCGTCGTCGAGATCAAGCGTCGGGCCATGGCCATACAACAGGGTAATTCGCTCTAGACTTGAAATGTTTAAAATGGAACACGGGACCTTCTACTGTAATGTAATTTTCGATGGATTGGATAAATTTAATTTATATATGACATCTGACGCAGGATTCTCCAACGAATCACATGCGGTGGTGAAAATGTCGGCGTTTTGGCTGCTGCCGCACTACGTATTTGCTGCAATAGCGGACGCTTCCTGTGTGATTGGGCAGAACGAGTTTTTTTACTCGCAGCTGCCGAAATCGATGTCGAGCGTGTCAACCTCTCTGTCGGGGCTGAGTATGTCGGCCGGAAGTTTGGTGGCGGGGTTTATAATGACGGTGGTGGATGACGTGACGAAGGCCGGAGGAGGAGAAAGTTGGGTTTCGAGTAACATTAATAAGGCTCATTATGAGTACTACTTTCTGCTTATTTGTGGGATTTGCTTCATTGATCTTCTTTACTTCGTTGCCTGTTGTAGGAGTTACGACGGAGGAGATGAAGAAGATGAAACTTGTAAACTCCAGGATTAGATCATGTTTACTTTTAATCTGGATTTAAATTTGTATCGTTTATTTTGTCTATTTAAGTTTCAAATTTTTATTCTAACAATTAAAACTAGACTAGAAGAGGCTTCAAGGGTGTGTTTGAGCCCCTTGTCGTGTCAAAATCATCTTAAGATTAATTTTAGGAAAGTTTAAAGTCAATTATTAATTTTTAACATATCACTTAGAGAGTGATTTTGAAAAATCAATTATACTTAATTTGTTTTTTTTTCAAAATCACTCATTTTATCGGGACTCTCCAATACACCATAAAATCGACTGGAATTTCAAAAATTTATTTCCACTTACATTGGATTTATTAAGGAGACCCCATAAAATAATGGATTATACTTGGATAGGTAAATCAAATCTTATCATCACCACTATTGAAAAATTAACAACTCATTATATTTTAAAAAAATATTTGTTTTTGCATTTCTTTCTTTTAAATATTTAATGGTGTCAAAGACAAGATTCTTCTAGATTTTCAATTAAAAAATAAACCAAGAAGCGAAGTAGTGCAAAAACTATTTTTAAAAAAAACATAAAAAATCACTTTTTTTTTGGTTAAATAATCACTTTTTTTTGTGTGTAAAATTATCATTCAAATAATAACCACACCTATCGACCTATTTACTATCATGTTTTTTTTCTTTTTTTTTTTTATAGATGAAAATCGAGTTCCAATGTCCATCGTTCTGTTTTTTTCAATCATTTTTAAAATTTGAATTAAAATAAAAAACACGATTAAATTTTTAACCAAAAAATAGCAATCAAATATCTACACGAAGTTGAGTACATATTTACAGTTTTCATACATAAATCAACAAAGATGAAAAGTTGATGAAGTATATTAATGGTAATATCAATCCATCAATGCATTGTACAAATTTTAAACAACAAGAAGGAAAACTTTAATATTTTCCAAAAAAAGGCATTTTAAAAAGTTCATTTTTTTTCAATTTTTTTTTTAAAATAGGTTAGTGTTGATCATTTTTATGTAGGTTTATTCAACGAGAAAGTAAATGGAGAAGTCAAGTAGCACAAAATCCCATTTTTAAAAATGCATGTTTGTAAAAAAAAAAAATTAATTCAAATAATCACTTATTTTCCTATAATATTTGGTTTTCGTTCCATGGAAAATTAATTCCAATGTCGATCATTTCTTTTTCTTTTAAACGTTTTCTAAATTTTAATTGAAATGATAACAAGATTAGATTTTTAACAAAACAAAAAATAGCAGTGAAAATATGTACATGTGGCTGAGTAAATATTTATGATTCACATACATAGATTAACAGAGATTAAAAGTGGACGATGTAATTTTATGGCAATTGCAATCGATCTAAAAAATAGTTTTTTTTTTGTATTTATCCATTTACAAAAAATAATGGATATAAAATATTACTTAGAATAAAATAATATGAAATATTTTTAATATACAAGGTTTTGTTTTTAGGGTGAGGGTTAGAGTTAAGTGAGGCATATATCGTGACCAATCTCAAGCAACATAAATATAATTATAAAGAATGAGAAGAAAAAGAAAAAGGAAAGTACATTTTTGTCAAAAAAAAAATAAAAAAGAAAAAGGAAAGTAGATGAAAAGATCCCATAAACGATGGGAAGAAAAGTGAACTGCTTAAAAAAAATAATTTCAATAAAAAAAAGGGTCAATTCGATTGCCAAGAGGTTGGAGTCTCGTTGCTCATATTAGTTTTGAAGTCTCAAATTCGAATTCTCGATGAGTTTAATATTAAAAACTCTTGATGTCTCTCGGATTTGAACCTTGAGACGGACGCAGGTGTCTTTGTCTTTGAATATAGAAGGATAAGTTATAAAATAATAATAATAATAATAATAATAATAAATAAATAAATAGAAAAAAGTGGACTCTAATCTTTTACTAGTGCTTGAGACATACTCATTGCAATATTGATGTTTCTTTTTCCCCAAATTAATACCCACCATTCAACATTTTTTTTTTGTCATTTTCAAAAAGTAATGTATTTTTAGAAATATGAAACTTTCAGTTAATATATAAAAATAAATAAATAAATAAATAATGTTTTGAGGAGTCAATACCAAATTACTCACTGTTCACTAAATTTGTTAGTTAAGATACTATTTTTCTAATCTATCGTCATCTCTTGTTAATTARTTTTATAGTGAGTTTATAAACTCGTTATCAATTCATCTCTTATTTTAAAGTAGTTAKGCATGTAATCACCAGATAATTATCACCATATATATACTGCGGGTGGTTAATGCATGATCTCTAAATTAGTTTAATTAGTTTGGACTTCTGCTGATTTGAATGTTGGAGTGTTAATATTTTTTTGTAGGTCTTCYTCCTATCAGGATTTACGAGACGTTTGAGTGCAATTTCGTGCTGAAACAAATTTATTTTTCTTTTTCAAATAACCGTCTTGGCATGAGGAAAAAACTCATGTAATGCAACTCATAATTTTTTATRATATATATATATTCTTCTTTCATTACATCTCGAAGGACATCGTCGCCTGAGATCTCATCAAACAAGGACCTTGAGGATTGGACGGATGAGCAAGGGAGAGGGAGATGAGTACTACAAGTTAAATTAAAATAGGAAAAAGTTAAAATTGATTAACTTTACGTGCGTCTGTTTAGTCCATTTAACTTTAAAGAAGTGTARTTATATGCTCCAACTTTAAATTATACTTATATTTAATTTAAGGTTATTAAAAAAATGTGGGGGCGATATAATTGTCAATATATATTACTATTGGTAGACATATTTGAATCATAAACACTAAATTTATAAACTTTAGATCTAAAAAAGGAAAACCTTTTTTTTTATTATTATTATTACATTTGGACAGCTAGGTTTGGTTATTGTCGTAGCTAGCGTCCAAGATCATGTGCAGTTTAATTATTCGGCCCTATTAATCATTTTTATACCTTTTCTCTTTAAATTTATTTTCGCATGTATTTTTTCTTTTAATAATTTTATTTAGTCAACCATCCTCTCAATTTCTTCTTTCCTTTTTTTTTTAATGTCAATTAATAGCGTCAATGAAGAACTCTACCATAAAACTCAAACATACTTATTTCAGAAGTAATGAGAGAAAATATAACTTAAATCCGTTTTTAGATCTTTAGCTTAGGAGTTTTTATTTATGACAATATAATCTTCCAAGAAAATCCGTTGATATATCATAAAGAAAAAACTTAGTAATTGGCAATGTAGGTATTTTGTAATTTTGTTTGACGTTAAAATACTATTTTGATTATTGTWCTTTTGACTTTAGTTGTTCATTTTAATATATRTACGTACATTTTAATTATTGTACTTAAATTGTGTTTATTTTAGTTATTATACTTTTGACACGTCCGTTTTTGTCTTTATTTAAAAAATTTTTAATACAAATTTTATACCCAATAAAAATTCTTCAATACAAATTTATGACTACATTTAAAAAAATTTAATGAGCAAATATCAATGCTAAAATYGAAGGCCAGTTGGTTTCTCCACATTATTTTACTCCAATAATTGGATGGCAAAAGTCGTAAATAAACTTCAAGTCAACTGGCAGTAATGTAATTAAGTACGTTCCAAAATAATATGCCATCATCACAATACTTACCMTTTGCCTACCAATATGCTATGAGTTGCTTATATAATCGCATCCCCTTTTATTTCGAAATGCCAATCAATCACACCATCCAACCCTCTTTTAGTTCAAACTCGCCGGAAAATCAATGGCCAGAATCGCATTGGGAAGCACCGGCGAGGCCACCCAGCCCGACTGCCTCCGAGCCCTCGTCGTCGAATTCATCACCACCTTCCTCTTTGTCTTTGCCGGAGTCGGATCAGCCATGGCCGCCGGTGAGTTCCCTGTCTCTTCTTTTTCTGTTTAGTTTCTATGGTTGAATTGTAATGAGACTGAGATTTTTCAGACAAGCTATTGGCAAACACACTGGTCGGGTTGTTTGCGGTCGCAGTAGCGCACGCACTTGTCGTGGCTGTGATGATCTCCGCAGGCCACATTTCTGGCGGCCATCTCAACCCTGCCGTGACTCTCGGCCTCCTTTTCGGTGGCCACATCACCATCGTTCGATCCATTCTTTACTGGATCGTTCAGCTGCTTGCAGCATCGGCAGCTTCTTTTCTGCTAGCATTCCTCACCGGAGGCTTGGTGATTCATCTTCTGAACCCATTTTCAAGATCTCATATTCTGCTACTTCATTTTTTGAAGTAAATATTTCAAACTGCTACTTCATTTTTTGAAGTAAATATTTCAAACTTTTTTTGTGATTTGCAGACCACTCCAATCCATACATTAGCAAGTGGAGTTGGGTATCTTGAAGGAGTGATATGGGAGATCATTCTCACTTTCTCCTTGCTTTTCACCGTCTATGCAACAATTGTTGATCCAAAGAAGGGAGCTCTTRATGGGCTGGGCCCATTGCTGACTGGGTTTGTGGTGGGGGCTAATATTTTGGCCGGTGGGGCCTTTTCTGGGGCCTCAATGAACCCAGCAAGATCATTTGGGCCTGCTTTGGTTGCCGGAGACTGGACCGACCATTGGGTTTACTGGGTTGGGCCTCTTATTGGTGGTGGGCTTGCTGGTTTCATCTATGAAAATTTCTTCATCGACAGATCTCATGCTCCTCTACCAAGGGCAGAAGATGGCTATTAGATTGAGATTGTGAGTTGAAGATTTTAGTCTCTTATGGTTCGGCTGGTGCTGTTGTGTTCATGAATAACAAGTTTAAGAGATCCTACTTTTGAATGTCAACGGGATGGAGTGTAGCGTAAACAGAAAAGTGGGTCTGGGTTTCTAAGATAAGTGTCACTTTGTTCTTGATTAAGATAAATGTTTTTGCTAAGTAATCTATGAATGGGATGAAAGTCTAACAGATGTATCTATGAGTCTATGACTACTTCCAAATTTGATACTATGGTTAGGATGGATATACCTCATCGATAATTTGTTTTCCTAACCAAAAGAATGATATGAAACATATTTAGATGCAACCCTCTTTTGTTATCGAGCATGTACATGTGACTATCACCGTGCATGGCTCTCACGAAGATTCCTATATCAATCTCGAGCCTTTCTTTTTTCGCCTCTCTTCCCAAGAGGGGGGCTCCCACAAAGATTCCTAAATCAATAGCGAGCCTCAACCTCTTGAGGGGCGCTCCTACAAAGGTTCTTAAATCAGGTTCTTAAATCAATCTCAACCGGATTTTTTTTTCTGAAATACCACTTTTGAAGGCTTTATCATCATTAAAATTGAACATTTTAGGATTTCTAACAATTGCATAAAAGAAATAATAATAATAATAATAAAGAGCAAGGGTAAATGTATAATGTACTAATCAAATCCGCTTTGGCGAACGTTCTATCATCATTTAAATTAATGCCCTGTTATAGCTCCGGGTTAGAAAGCCCTGAAGAACAACTAGCATGGATTTGGTGTTGCACAGAAAAAAGAAGCACACAATACCTTCCAGCCAGATTTAGTTGTAGAGGACAATAAATAGGCAAAGGCGCTTCCATCTGATCAGMCAGCTTTTGAGGAGTCAGCTGGGAGTTGAGGCTGTAAGCTTCTCCTCAAAAAATCAGACATCTTTGCAGTTGCAGCACGCCCCCGTTCCAGGCAGTGAATATAATCGTCCACTTTAAACAAAATTAGACAACAACAAGCTTAGATCCCACTCTTACTATTCCATCTAACATTCACAAATTTTCAGCTTCCATATGCAATCTAAAAGGAGACTCAATGCTATAATGAGATCTAAATACATTTTCAAACACAACACTCAGAGCACAACACAGAATTCGAAAGTACATTACATAATGTAGGAGTGAATATTGAGTATGATCTTGTTGAGACACTGACATCCTAAAATACATTAAAACTCACTATAGACATGCAAGTTTTAAACTACGATAACTGGAAAATGGCTAGTTTTTGTATATGATATACCTGACATTGCACCCTGAGTTACAGATGTTATTATTCCATGCTCTAATGGTTCATCTACAACTTGTGTAGATCCTTTGGGAATTACTGAGACAGGTGAATTTGGAAAGACCAAATGCACAAATGCCTTCATTTTCTGCAATTTCAATTCACTTTTCTATCATTTGAAAATAAAATTCAATAATTTCCACAATTGGACAAGCACTGCCGAAGGGAGTATTACAAACAGTAGATTGCTGACCTGCTCCTCTAGTTTTGTTGGATCCAAAATAACATATCCACTCTCAGACAAACAACAGCAAATTGCAACTGCAATATGCAGCGCAGAGTAGTCAGTGCAAACCATTCATTTATCAAATGAAGACGTGAAGAATATAAAACCATCAAAGTTGATTACCAGCAAGATGCTTTAAAGGAATTCCAGCATCTACTAGGGCAGCACATGATGCATTAATTGCACAAGGAAGAAGCTATTTGAGGTCTCTGTCAAAGAGGTTCTTGATGAAGATATTTTAATAAAGATATTGCCACAAATAAAGAAAATCATGCCCATGTGTGTAATAAGTTGACATAATACCAACACAATCCAATTAAGGTCAAAAATATTTTTCATAGTGACATTAGACATTTTGAAAGAAAGCCATTCCTAATTTAATGTATGTAATATGTTAGGAAAAAATATTAAAAAAAAAAAACTGTTCAAGTTGATTAGTAAGCCCAAATCCTTCACCTCTTCCTGACCCAACAGTAGTTCCTCGTATCATATAAATTTGAACCAGCTATTATATAGCATAGTTGGTTAGAGCACCGTTAAAGTAAAGTACGAGAACTTGAACTCAAATTCAACTTTCAAGGAGAGCATTATATAAGAAACTCAGCTTGATTAGGATCGTGAGGAAATGACATGAATATTATGTGCCCTAATAAACTTATCTTTTTCAAACATTATTATTAGTAATTAAAAAGAGGGTATTAAATCAAAAGGGATACAGCTCCATCATCATGAATAACCTGCAATTATGGGGGGGAAACATCAATGTATTTGAGATAAGAAACTARTTGCCACATAACTAATGCAATGTAAACGCCTTTAATTCAATATATTTCAAAGCTGACAGTCCAAAACCTTTTTTGAGATAAGGAAATTATCAAAAGTTTAATAAATCTCCATCAACGTACAATTTAGCACCAAGGTGAGCTGGGCAATTCAAGAATATTTGCACTTTCCAGCAACATACGGTTTCAGTAACATAATAACATGTTGCAGCTAATTATTTCTTACATAAATTATCTTTTAACTTCCAAATATAAAATAAAATGATGTAACGTGCCATGACTATGTACATATCCATGTCAGGAGTAATCAAGCAGAAAATCCTCATGAATGGGTTGGTTGGGACTGAAGGAAGATTGGAACAAATGGAACTTGCCAAGTCCTTATCATGAGTAATAACATTACTTTTATTTATGAGGYATGTATATAGAGAGAGGGGAGGAGAGGAAGATACTTTTCAGAAACATAAGAACTGAAAAACTATAATACATTAAAATTTAAGGTTGTGCATATTTTGTCTTGGTTTCTATTCAGAGGCTGCTTACCTACAACAACATTTTGTGATACTTATTAGATGTATATTAGATAGACGTTAAAAATCAACCAGAAACGAGTGACATAGTGTTTAGGGTGTATATGCATCACAAACATTGATAATAGGACGGGAACAGAGAAGAGGAAACCATGTTGCATATCACAAGCATTTTGCACAGAAAAGGGGGGAAATTTAGACTCACCTGAACAATAATAGATGTTGTGGTATTGGGATTAATAGTTAAAATGCAAATACTCTGCAATGTCCTCTTTAAAATCATCTCACACTCCCTTTCCAGCTTTCCTAATACATCATGAATTTTGTCAAAAAAAAAACATTAAAGAGATTCAAATAATATTATCACCTACTTCAAATTCAACTGAAATACACCATCTATAAAGAAATCCATTAAGTAAGAAATCTACTGAACTCACAATGTTATGATATTAAAGAAGCTTACCAATCTGTCCTGTCTTGGGTTTCCATATAACCTCAATTGAAGCCTTCTCCGGATTCTCATTCTTCTTTGTTCCTGCTTTAGGTCCATAAACTGCGGCAAGAACTTTGGTATCGCCTACGAAATCGAAAATTTCCCAAAATTTAACCAACTCACTAATGAAGCAAGAACGATATAAAGATGCTGGAAGATGGACGAACCTTGGGACCAACTGGCGGAGCCGTGAGCACGATTAAGAACGTTGCAAGAACAAGCAAGCGGTCTCAGCTGATTGGCGGTACGACCATCATCTCTGTCCATTTCCATGATCTTTCTCCGGTGGTTTCTGAAGATTAAAATGGAAAAGAAGAAGTTAACCTTCCTTTTACACTTGAGATGAATTCAAATTCAGTCGTTGGAGCGAGAAAGCCGCAGAACTGCTGTCGCCTGCTGGCTGCTAGGAATGGCCCGTGAAGAGAGAGGAACGGTGGTTACTAGGGAGAGAGATGGCGAGACGGCGTTGGCGGAGGGACAGAAAACAGAGCGCTGAGAATATTTAGCGGCGGCCGCCGCCGCTGGGTCTGAATAGTACTCGGAGGAAGGACTGAGAGAGACCGAGAGTGAGAGAATCGCGAGGGAAGAAGATACTAGGGCAAAAGTGTCTTTTAATTTTATATTTTTCCGTCAAGGGCTGCGAATGGAATGAAAATAGCTGGGCCGATGGGCCTTCGAGGAGGAGTGCTGGGTTGGGCCTGGGCTGGATATTTTATCTCTTATTTCTTTTTCTTTTATCCTTTTAGATAATATTTATTTGATTCCATTTGTATTGATTATTTAAACTCTTAAATCGAATTAAATATCTTAAAGAAAAGCATGTTTAAAAACTAATTATTCAAGGTTTGAAAAACTAGGTCGAAATTGACTTAGTTTCTAAAATTTGTAAACCTAGTCATAAAGAAACATATCTACCAACTTACATATCTACTCTACTTTGAGTGTGTTATTTTGGGTATTCTAAAAAATTATGAAATACTAAAAAAACTTATGTTAAAAAAATGTAATGATATATTTTTAAAAAGAAATTAATACATTTTTTCCACACAGTTTTTTTTTAAGATTGAATCTACCTACATAGTTAGAAATATAATCGAGGGGAACACTATCATTAAAATACTTTCCAAAAAAATCATTTTTATTAAGAAAAAACATCATTCTTACATTTTTATTATAAATATATAGCAGATATTGATCATATTTCGATTGGTTAAGTATTTATCATATATATATATAGACACACACATATACACTACAAAAAGAACAARCAAAAAGATATATGTACTAAAAAAAGAACAAAAAAAAATTTATATATATATACATGCAGTGGCACGTGGCGTCCAACCGATGACGTGAAAGTTAGAGATGGAAGTTTTCCGTTATACTTTTCCCTCGAATTCTGAAAAATAAAGTTAGTTGACGGCGTAACAGAAAGTGAACGCCGGTCGCCGAGCGTTACTTTATTTCACGGGGYAGAACTGTCTTTTCAATCCTTTAACCAGGCTCCAATTGGGGAGGAAAAAAATAAGTGTGATTTTTGCTTCGTCTGCTCAGTTAAAACGAAAAACAACCATGTTAATTGGCAAAATTTGATGTTTTTCGCCAATTATTTTGTTGTTTATCCTATTCCTAATCAGCTCGAATCGATATCTCTTCAGYTGGAAAACGAAGGAGGAGCAAGAAGAAGACGAGAGGAAGAAGATTGCTCCGCTTTCTCTCTGATAAATAGTCTAAATTAATCGGAAGAAAACCATTATGGTTGCAGAGACCAAACCCACTGTTTCAAAGCTCAAACCCGGTAATCAAGATGGCGGCTCCAGATTAAAGCTCGAATCCTCCGACAATAAGAGGAAGATTGAGAGCTCCACCAAGAGCTCAATTGGTTCCAAACCGAAATCCGCGTCTGTTCTTATCAAATCCGAGGTACCCATTTTGGAAAGTTGAGGTTTCTTTGATTCAGATTTAGCTCTCGCGAATTGGGGATATTGTAATTTCTTTTTTAGTTTTCGTCTCAATTGTTTTTTCATGTTTAGAAACGCATCTGATTTCCGAATTGGAAACAGTAACGGATTTGGGGTCATCGAAATTTGGAGTATGTGGAGTATGTGTGCTTCTTTCAGTTACTTCCCATGTTCTAATTTCGTATTCTTCTTGTGGTTTTTTTTTTTTTTTTCATAATTTGGGTTATCCTCATTGGATTGTTTTTCTGGTTATATCACCTGTGGCTTTGAAAATTTTGTGCATTCCTTTCTATTCCTAAAATCAATGTGCTGATTTTGAAATTGGGTCTAAATTCTAAATGGTCTAAACGTTCTCTTTTTGGAAGGTAAAGTCAAAGATAACATCAAGTTCTTCAAAAACGACATCAAAAACTACTACTACTACTACTACTACTACTAAAGTTAGAGAAAAGAAAGTGTACAATTTGGCTGGTCAGAAATATGATCCTCCTGAAGAGGTCTGTACTTCTCTCCTTCATAATTGATTTAGTATTAGTTTATATAGTTGATGAACTCGTCATCATTCCTCTTTTGTATGGTACGAACAGAGAGAGCCGCTTCGGATATTTTACGAGTCCTTGTCAAAACAGATACCAACAAGTGAAATGGCAGAGTTTTGGTGCGGTTTGTTTTCTGATACTCTTTTGAACATTCACTGTCTATTTAATCCTTTTAGGATTCATAAACCATGAATATGGAATTGGGCTAGCTTTAGACATACATGACCCTTAGGCTGACAATTATCTGTTCTGGGTCCTTTTAACGGCAGTGCGGTTTCTCTAGTCAGACAAAATACTAGTGATACTTGTGAAGTCCGACGATGTTTATCTTCCACTTGATATGCTATTACYATAGTTGCTAAATTTGAATTATAGTGACTGAATGCAATCGATGGCATAAGCAAGAGGCCACTTTTAGGGGCAGATAAGTTTTGTTGAACAACTTTACCACTAAGTGGTTCCTCTGTGTTTGGGTTGTTCCAATTTTTATGACAGTTAGCTCATTAGTTTGGTTAGTTGGGCAAGCTGAACTATTGGGTGAAGACTGAAACTTTTCATGTCCAATCCACTGTTGATGATAGAAATGGTAGACTGAATAGGTTGCTAGCTTGGTTTAGATGCGAACTAATCCAACGTCATGCATACATCTTGTGCTGAGAGCTAATGTTTCTTTGCTTATTTTCGTTATGGAATGAATCATAATTGGATACCATATCATGCACCTGATCATTTATTATGTTCTACTCTCTGAATTTGTTCATTTTGTAACCTGAGTTTATGGGCATGTATAAAGTGTGCAATGTCAATTGGATACATATGCGATTGRCGCCTAGAGAGCATGCTGTACTAATAACACAGGTTTGTTCTTGAAGTTAAACTTATGTTTAGTGTTGCAATCATATTATCATATATTGATCTCAAGGGGTGACCTTGATGGTAAGAGCTTTGGATGGTTGAAGGAAGTTTACATCAATGTTTTGGGTTCAAGTCTCCAAGTGGAAAACTTAATACATGAGAATCCTTGATGTCCCCTGGAACTGGGTTTGGGGGTGCGAAGTCTGCTGATCGATCTGTAGGGTGGAKTCTGATACTGTCAATATACCCAATAAGGAGGAAAAAAAAATCATATTTCGTATTATCTGATGATGGTTCAATGGATATGATGGAGTGGCAGCTGTAGTGAGCTCAGGGAACGATGTTTAGGTTGAAAGGTTTCTCTTTTCCTCAACAAGACTGCAGTTCTAAGACGATTATCTTGTTTGAGAGTTGTTTAGTTTACACAAGAGAAACGGCTGGAGCATGGAGCAAGTCATTTGTTTGCCAACATGATAATTCTTCTTTTACTGGCTGAAGTTCTGGTGTGTTTTGTTGGCTATTGGGAATGATGCACAAAAAATTGGAATTTCCTGATGGATTACTGGTTGATATCAAGGAGTTTGAACAGTAAAATTGAGGTTGTACAAAGTTGATTATTGTTTTTAGTTTGAAATTCATGTGCAAAGAGTACTTCAAGTTTGACTCTGCACTTGGAAGATCTCAAAAGACAAGATATAAGACCTTCTGAAGCAAAAAAAGTAACTAGTTTTTGAAAAGTTGTGATCAAAGAGAAGTTCTYCATTGAACTGGGGAAAATTACAATCATGTTCTTTTGTTATATTTTCAGCACAACATAAATGTATAAACACTTCAAGGTTGAGCAAATTTCTGGAATTCGAGAAGAATCCTGTAGGTTGCTATAATAGAACTAAACTAGATAGAGATCAAACATGGAGTTTTCCTATTCCTGCTGTTATAATCTCTACAAAAGTTAAAAACGATCATAAAGTATAATAAATGTCAATGGCACGATTGCAGATGGAACATTTGGAATACAATTTTAAGTGTTCATACACTTCTAGTCATTTCAAGAATTTAAAATGGATGGAAGTTATTGTTTTCTGGTAATGATTGATGCAGTTAGCGTAGTCCTACAAGTCTAGATCATATGCCTTTCTGCAGCACTCTGACTTCCCTTCGAAAAAATATTTCTCGATATTACTTGTCTCATGAAACCTGAATTATCCTTGGGTCATGGCTGTTTTTGGAGGCATATTATCATGTTTATTTCTCTATTCATTTGTAGCATGAGATTGCTTTCCCATTATTCTCGGGTTTAAGATTCGAATCACACCTTTATACTCTTCACTAATTTGTTATGTTAAAATGAGATTGATATCCCCCTTATTGTCTTGGGTTGAAAAATGCATCTCCTTCTCTTAACATTTTTATGGTTTCTCTAAAACCCCTTGCATTACTCTTTATTGAGAAGCCAGAAAGGGATAACCAGTTTAAATTTATAGGATGATGGAGCACGGCATGTTATCTCCCGAAAAGGCAAAAAGGGCGTACGAGAAGAAACTGAGAAGACAAAAGGAACAGCGGACGGGGACTCCAGTTAAATCACCAAAACTGCCAAGCAAACCAGAGAGTTCACAGAAGCAGCAGATGTCATCAAAGAATGGTGATCTAAAAGCCAAGAAAAAGATCACAAACGACAGCAGCGAAGATGACGACTTCATTTTAAGCCCCAAGAGAAGGAAAATGTAGGAAAAACGCTCTCCCACAAGCCAGCCTTCCCGCCCTTGTTTCTTATTAGCATACTTTTTCGAGAAATTAGTTGATTAAAATTTCCTTAAAGAGTCTTAACTGCAAAACTACAGAGATGATCATAACCCAACAGTATTTACCAGGACATTTGTTTATGCTCTACAACCTGTGTAAGGACAATAATTTAAGGAGAGAGACAAGTTTCATGGTTCAAATCCTTTTCACTTAATGTGTAATTTCTCTCCTTTTCATTCTGATTTCTGATAGATAGATCATGCAGTAGTATCTCCTCCAGTGGTGTATGACACCTTAATCAATAAGTGGACCCATCTGCAAACTCAAGCCTAATATTGCCTCTCAGCCTTGAAAAAAAAGTAAACAAAACAGCATGGCTTGTCCATATATTTCTTCCCTACTTATCAGGTCATCATTTCATTTCCTTCACAACAGTGCATCATGGGAGAAGAAAAAACCAACAGGAGACAAGACCAGCCATTTTCAAAATAGGGTATCCCACAAGGGCGTAATTCGTAACCATCCCTCGTTAGAAACGAACCGAGAAACCGAGCCAAGACGGGGCGGATTTTATCCAAATGCAGGTGGTAAAAAACGCAGAGAGGGCTGAGGAATCAAGTTTTAGCAATCTGTTTGAAAGATTTGGGGCGTGGCAGAGACTGAAATGTGATAAAAAAAACCCACTTGGGAAATGGAAAGAAATCAAATAAGTGTACGTTGGTGAGGGGAGGGTATTGGAATCCCAATCGTTTTTTACCAAAAGAAAGAGACCAATTTTCCTGAGAAGTAACCATCAAATACACATGTCTGACAACATGTTTCATGGAGTTTTTCACCTGTCTGTATTTAATACAGAAAACAGCGACACGTTCTTGAAAGCTACTACATTCAAAACACCCCCCCGTCCCTCTCCTCTCCATTATATTCATTTCTGCCATTCTTCTCTTAGTTTACAGCAAAAAAAAAACAGAATAGAAGATGAAATATCTAGCATTCTAACATGTGTGCTGTATTTCTGGTTAGAAAAAGAAGAAACTTTTTTTTCCTTTTTTTAATCTTTTAGAGCATCATATTAAATGCACATCCAGAAGTTGGAGAACTTAGGAATTTGGCAGTGGATGTGAGAGAGAGGGAAGGGTGTAGTGTACCTAACCAAATGGGAATTAATTGTGGTTGCCCCAGAAATCTGTTTGGTTGTGGAGAAATATGATAATGGAGATCCTAATAACCAGATTTAGATACTCCATCCCCACCCCCCTTGAGCTTCCTCAATCTTGATCTTAAAGGCCATTTAAAAACTTGGGTTGGCTTGGAACAGGTTTCACAATCAACCCAACTGGTTTTTTTCTCTTACACTACAGGATTCCTTAAATGTCTCCAAACTCGAACTCAAACTCAAACTCCAACCTCGGATTCTATGGGGAAAAGGTTGATTTAGCAGAGAGAGAGACAGCGGAAATGTTAAAAGAGAGAAGGAAAAAAAAGGTCACATGTTGGGTGTTTGTTTTCTCCTCCAGACAACGAGTGGAGCGAGAGCCACGACGAAAGAAATAAACGCAGCAGAAACAAAACGGATAAGGAAACGAGTTGCAAAAAGCCCTTAAACAGCAAATTAATTAAAAATAAGATGTAACACTCCGGCCAAGGATTCGGACCAGGATTCCGAACCTAATTATCCCGAGTGCATTCCAGTTGAGAAGAATCTTGAGATGATAGAAACACCTCGAAATTATAGAAATATAATTTAGAAAAATTTAAAAGAATTGATAGGCACTACTCGTATGAGAACAAAGCATCCTAAAAAGAACTCGTATTGGTTCGTAGAAATGTGATAGATAACAATTATTAAAATACCAGTTTCTTATTTCTATCTAATTCAACATAATTTCTTTTCTAATTGATGGACTAAGACAGAGAGAGTGAGAGAGTTTGAGTTGTTGCTGTTTGGCAACTGAAATGTGGAATTATTTATTTATTTGGATGGAATTTGATATTAAAAAGTTTGGAAATTAAAATATTCCTCCAAGAAATTCTGTGAATGGCTGGCTGGCTTGGTAGCTGATGCTCAAACAGTGATGTACTTGTTATTCTAAAAGTAGTAACTTTTTTTTTTTTAGTGGCAGCTTTTGGATTTTTTCAATCTCCATGTTGGATTTGGGTGTTGATAAGAGAAGAATATTTTTTTTTACAATTTTATTTTATTATGTTACTGTTTCTGTTTATTATCCACGAAAAAAGAAAGTACTAATTATTTGGAGAGACGAATTGGATTGGATTGGATTCGACAGCATCTTCCATTACAATTAGAGTAAAAGATCAAATMTTTATTATTCTTTTACAGTAAAAATCTTTATTGATTAATTATCTTATTATTGTACCATCATACCCAATTCATTACACTAGATTTTGTCTAGGATTTCTAAATCTCTCTCGAATTGATTATGATTTTGATTATTTTTCCAAAATTTTATCATCTAGATTTATATTTTCTTTCTATATTATTCTCTCCCTTTGATCTCTAGTGTCAACTTTCAATAACATGTCATAGGACATCGAAAATAACATGGGACCTACAAACGACCCAATGAGTTGAAGAAAAAAAGGGGTATTATTATTATTATTTGTGGGTTAGAATCATAGGGTTTGAATTAGGACAATAAAATGTCGCACTCATAGTACCACCGCTACCTATATATCTACATATATATCTCTATTGAATATATAATATATATTTTGCTGTCTTCACATATTATTGTATCGAATTTTTTTTTTTTGTAATTTTTTTGTTACTAAATTAAGTATTTGTTAGGGTAATTAAACCGTGTGTTTTTTTTATTCTCTTTGAACTATATATTATACAACATTGAAAATAAAATGGGCTCTACAAAATGAGCCCATAAAAATGAGTTGGAAAAAGGTTATTGTTATTTTTGTGGGTTAGAATGATAAGGGCAATACAATGTCGATCCAAGGTGTCACGCTCCCATAACCACATAAATTTTTTTAAAAAAAAATCCAAATTTAATGTATGATAACTTAAAAATATATACTTATTTAACATTATGGGACCAAATTTAATTTCTATTCTACAGCTCACTTATTCACGTACAATATTTCTTAACTTCTTTTGCAAGTACATTATTTTATTTTCCCATGAAAGCAACTAAACTTCACTTTCGTCCCGATGAGATATATATTAATGCATTTACTGTTCATTTTAAAATCCGATGTAATGAGTTGAATTTAGGTTTTGGTGATATGAAAGATAATTATTTTTTTTTAAGGAAAAAAAAAACTACAGTATAATATACAAGTGAGAGATGGGGGAGGGCCCCTCTGGTTTGATTTTTGGTGTGAAAGAGAATATGAATGGGTTTTTAAGTTTGTAGGGTTAGTTCGGTTTTTGAAATTTCAAATGGGGTCGGGGACGGGGTCGGGGTCTGGTTGAGACTCGGATATGGCGAAAAAAAGTGATTTGTTATATATAAGGGGCATAGAAGAAGTTGTTGAATATGTTAGCGACGTTAACGCATCAATGAAGTCAAAGGAGTGATACATAACTCAACGGGACCAAAATGAGTTGTGAATAAAGTTTCGTATGGCTGAAAAACTTCGGTGTTCAATCCAACTACTTCTTCCAGACCCCATTTTACATTTTGAAAGATCAATCCGCCACCTCGCAAATTTTAAAAATTTCCCTATTTTTTCTCTCTTTTTTAATTTATGTATATACAATTACCAAACTTAGACATATAGAAGTATGTGAGCATAAAAATTCCACTAACTTTCATGCTTATGAGAGAAAATGTTAATTAAAAAATAACAAGTAATTGGCACCCATCTTTGACTAAAAGGTCATGAGTTTGAATCCTTAAGTACGAAGAAAAATAGGGATATGTTCAATTAGTAATTAACTAGGTATAAAAATTAGCTAATTATATGTTATCAATAAATAAAATAAATTTAAAAAATAACATAAAAATTTGTGAAAACTGAAAACTAGCTGTGATCGGTAGGTATCATGAAAATGAGGACAATTATGTTGAACAAAAATAATGAAAGGTCAATGCTACTTTGTAAAGCTATACATTTATCCCCTACCACCACCAATTGGAAGCCCTAATTTTACTTGTATTGTCCCTTTAATATTATTTATTGTTTCTTTAATTCTACGAGACACAAAGTCCCTTTCAAATTTTAATTTGAAATTTATAATCTTTTTTCTCTTTTAAATGTATTGACTTCTTGATCCAAGATCGATATCAATTACTACTAATCTAAATTTCATATTGATGGAAAGATTTGAGCCGACTCAATCTCGGGATTAAATAAACTGTACATTGATTTCACAAAGTTTTTCTGAGTCGAAACGGTGAAGTCCCGTGATCTGATGACTAGAGCAGCGAGAGAATAAACCAGATACCCCCATAATTCTGATTTCTGACGAGCGCAAGCCTTATAATTCAGTGGGCATTAAAAAAAGAAAAAGAAAAAAAAAGGGTGTGTAGAAGATGAGTGAAACATGGATAAATGAACAGTGCCGAAACGGGTAAAAACAAGAACAAGTAGAGAGAGATAGAGAGAGAGAGAGAGAGAGAGAGAGGAATTGAAAAGGTGGGAAATTTAATAGGCTATGGTTGCGTGGAATTGGATAGTAGAGGGTGAGGACCCCATTTCCAGAAACTCACAACCCATCTCTGTGTCTATAAGTGTAGAAAAAAAGGCATCCAATTCCAATCAATTGAAAACTCAAGAAGAAGAAGAAGGATGAATCAAAGCTCGGAAGAAACAGAGAGCAGCAGCAGCAGCAGCTGGGATCAGGGGACGAAGAAGACCAAACGGGCGCCCAAAAACAGAGACAGCAATGGCAAGCACCCGGTTTACAGAGGGGTCCGAATGCGGAATTGGGGGAAATGGGTGTCCGAAATCCGCGAGCCACGCAAGAAATCGCGCATTTGGCTCGGCACTTTCCCGACCCCTGAAATGGCGGCCCGCGCACACGACGTGGCCGCCCTCAGCATCAAGGGCGCCTCCGCCGCCGCCCTCAACTTCCCGGACCTCGCCCACCTCCTCCCCCGCCCCCTCTCCCTCTCCCCACGCGACGTCCAGGCCGCCGCCACCAAGGCCGCCCACATGACCAATTTCGACTCCTCCTCCTCCGCCGCCGCCACCGCCGCCGCCGCCGAAGACGACGATTCCTCCGCCTCCTTCGACTTCTCCTCCTCCGATGAGCTCGCCGAGATCGTCCAGCTCCCCACTCTCGGAACCACCGCCGCCTACGACTGCAACCAATTCGTCTACCCCGACGACCCCTGGCTCCACAATCTCGACCCCGACGACGGTAAGATGGGAATCGGATTCGGAATCGGAATCGGAATTATTGAATCATTTTCCATCAATTATTCCATCTTCTAATTCCTTCAATCCAACGTAACCTTCTTCCGCTTCCACTGTGTGCTGCTTTTTTAATCCACTTTCCCCCAAATGTTACCTTCTTCTTCTTCTTCTTATTATTATTGTAACTTTTCTTCTCTCGTCTTCCCTGTCTTTCGTTTTTTTGAGCCCTTTTGGTTTTTCTTTCAAAGGGCTTAAAAAAATTWTWAAAAAAAAAAAAAAACTGTACAGTGTTGGAAATGAAATCCCAAAGAGGGAAGTTTGTCATTAAATTTCCTTTTCTTGGTTGGTGTTAACAGTTAAAGCCTGAATTGCTGCCTTAAACACGAATTTGAAAATGTAAAATCTACCGAAATTTATGTTTCAATACTCAATCCAATATATGAATTAGATCTATCAAATTCATCAGCTGGCTGGGTGGTTTATTCATTCTAATAATAGGTCTTGGGGTCGAAATACGAAATTATAGTAGAGGATTTACAATACTTTACAATAGAATTTACGATAATTTGGTATTAATTTAAATGTGGATGAAATCATGGTAGAGAATTGGTATTTTCCCCATTTGACTAAACTATACTTGAGGGATCTCTCAGTCTTTCATCTTTATTGCTTATTTGTCGGGTTTCAATAAAAAAGGTCACCCATCCCAAATTCCAATGAGTGATCTGTCAATTATCACTTTGTATTTGGATTTTTGAGATTTTTGTTTTGTTTTTTCAATATCACAAGGAAAAATAACAGTTTTTATCGATCAATCAAATATTGTTATTATTCGATAACTTGCATATAGTTCAATTTGTTAAGTCATATATTTTCGAATATAAAGTTAAAGATTTTAGTTCCTATCTCTGCAAGTGCTGTTGAGCTAAAAACATTAGTATTCTTCTTTCTTATAATTATTCTTTTGAAGATCCATGGAGATAAAAAAGAAAAAAAAAATCCAGGCAGATAAGTTAAATGAACTATTTTTGTTTCTGTAATTATTTACAGGAAAAAGAAATCCTAAATTCATATTTTCATTGATGTTATTATTATTATGTGATAGGTAAAGGACAAAAAAGGAGAGGCCACGTGTCTGGTCTTAAAGACATATATTATAGTTTCCAATGGTCAATGAATCTCCAATCTTCCATTTTCCCTAAATTTTAAAAAGAATAAATACAATTGGCTTCCACCTTTTGTTCCAGCCTTTGTTTTTTTTTTTCTAGAATGTTTTAGTAATAAGATGATGATTAATTCCACTAATAACTAATTTAGTTTTCAATCGTTTTTAATTAAATATAAAGTTAATTTCCTCTTAACTTTCTAATCATGCATGTTCTTTTGTAGTGGATCGTTGTTGTTTAAAATTAGTTTAGATGATTTTCATGGTTTCATATATAGTTGATTTTTTTTTCTGAAAGAAAATATAGTTAAATTTAAATAATGGGTTTAATTGTTAAATATACTCATGTTTCTTTTGACTCAAAGATTTGATTTTGTGATGATTTAAGAGGGAAAAAAATCTAATATATTAGAGGATTATATGGATACTTCTGGTCAAATTTGGAGTATTATTTTACAATGATTGGGAGTTTATTAATATTAAAAAAGAAAAATCTTCATGAAGAAAAAAAGAAAAATCTTCGTGAAGAAAAATTTTAGTGTAAACAAAGAAACAATTATGTGACATCCGACTAGAGACAAGGGGTACATAGATAAATCGGTACCACATTTGAATGAGAAGGATCCTGAGATCATAGAAGCATGGTTAAAAAAAATGTTAGAAGAACCGATAGTCACCACCTATATTAACAAAGTGTTCATTTCTTTTCGGCGACTCAATAATCAAGGAACTCCAAAGTTTAATAGTTTTCGTTCTTCTAGATAGCTCAGAATACTGCAAATCCTGGAAATGCCRGGTAAATATAGATGTTGAATTCTTTTCCAAATCCATGGGGTGATACAAACTACTACCAAAAAAAAAAATACCAGAAATTTTCCTATGCATTAGTATACAAATATTAAATGGCGAAATTTAGTATAGGATTAAACCCTAGTTAACTATGTCTCATTAAATTTATAAGTTTGAATTGTTATCTAGGTCATATGTAAAACTTTCATACCTCTAGAAATTAGGAAATTAGGAAATTAGGGCTGTTCAAAAGATGATGACACGAAAAACTCAACCAACCCAAATCGATGGGATTGGATTATAAACTTGTTTGGATTAGGTTGGGTTCACGGAAATGAAAACTCCATGAATTTGATTAGTTTTAGGGTTTACCTGAAAAAAAATTTGGGTGGAACTAAATCAACTCAAACTTTATTATAAATTTGAAAACTCATTTCTTTTACTTGCCATAAATAATTTTATGAATATATTTATTTTAGTTTTATTTAATTCAATCCTTTTTTATGGATTTTTAAAATATCTTTTAAAGTTTTTTTTAATGTAATTTTTCACCCCATAAATAAATATTGACTTAAAAATCTTGATTCAATGTTAGCGACTATATAAATAATTTGGTTTAATACAAATGTATAAATAAGTGTTTAAGATATATTAACCTTCACTTTTTTGTTATACACAATTTTAAATGAGTGATTCGAGTAACTCGAGTCAATCCAATCCAAAAATATTTAATAGTTGAGTTTGAATTGAATTTATTATTTAATGAAGATTGTTTGGATGGATAAATTTACAAGCAGAGCAATTAGGTTTGGTTTAAAAAGTACCTCAATCCTCAATCCAACTAATGAACACCCTTAAATATATTTACTCTCATACATTGTCAAACATGTCAATATTATTTTCGAACGATTTGGGATTTGCTAGTATTAAAAAAATTTTAACGAAGAAAAATTTACGGTGTAAATTGAACGAGCATGTACTACATACGAAAGTACTCGAAAATTTCCCGTGGATTAGTAAACAAATATTAAATTTAGAATTTCATCTTTTCACTATTAATTACTAAATTTACTCTAGGATTCAACCCAAGTTAATTATATTTCATAAAATTTAAAAGTTTGAATTGTTATCTAGGTCATATTTGATTAATCGTAAAAATTTCATGCCTTTAAAAATTAGGAAAGATTGGTATTTGAGACATGTGGATTAGGACATTTCATAAAATTTGTAAATAGGTATGTTGCATAATACAGCATATTTCAATAATGCCCTTCCTTTTTCTAAAGGGAGTACATTCGCTAGCCATTTTTATAAAATTTGTAAAGTCAAAATTTATATAATTATTACAAGATTAATTATGCAAAGAAATAAAAAAATCTTTAAAGTTTGCCATGTGACACAATACCTAATCTTGATATAAGCTATTATTAAGCCAAGTTGAGGGAGAGAAAACAAAATAAAAACTTGATTAGTCTCAAAATACATTAAAAAGAAATGCTGATATATTATGTGCAAATAGACCATGTTAAAGATATCATTACCATTAATTGATATTTGTCCAAAGCATATAGTAAATTTTTGGATTAAAAAAAAGGCTAAAATATTAATTTCAACTAAAATAATTGGGTCATTTTGGTTGACATTTGACAAATGCATATGCATTATTATAGTATCTATGTCCTTCACACAAAAATAAATACTTAGGGTGAGCTGCAAATCTCATGGTTGAACCTAATAATATTACAAAGTAATTAAATGCAAGTTACTATGTTATGGATATAATTATTTCAATTAGTATTTACATAAATTGGTTATTATGTTAATAAATGATCGTGCAAAAGTCAACTGATGAATATTCCTTTTTTTAGAAACAATAATTAATGCTATGTGTTAAGGTATACATAATTTGAATCTTACTAAAAAGTTGGAGGCTTTTTTTTTCWCTTTTCTTTTTAATTACGTTATGTGGGCTAAGAAGCATGGATAAATTTTAGAAATTTAACTATATTTTAATTCATAMTTAAATTAAATGAGATATGAGTGTGTTTTTCAATCCAAACAACTCGTGATATTACTAATAGTTTAACCATTTAAATGATGAAGGTAAAGGTAAAGTAAAAATAATTCTCAGAAATTGGTAAAATTTTTCCCTAATTTTTTATATATATAATCTTTTAATATTTTAAAAATTTTTAAAAGGCAAACTAAAGAAATATTGAAAAATTTCAAGTTATATATATATATATATATATATATATATATATATATATTTTTTGGCTTACAAGAACTAAGAAAGACACCATTTAAATGGGTTAATTTCAATCTCATTTCAAAGAGAGAGAGAAAAAGACTCAAATGGAGATTGGGTTGATATAATTAATTAAGTTATCTGTGTTTAAGTACAATAATTAATTAATTAAATTGGAAAATTGGAAAAGAAATAATTTTAAAAAATGACGAAAACGATATTTAGTGAAAGCCAGGATTTTGAAAGATTTGGTTGGCCACACCCAATATTCTCTCCATCCAAACAACAAACCTCACAACTTCACGTCAAAATCAGCTACCCTACCCTTGTCTCAACAAAATTCCCCCCTAAAATATATTTGTCAATTTTCGCCCAGCAATTTGAATATCATAATGAAAAGTAA